AAACCAACACGCTGGAAAGACCAATAAGCAAAATATGCCTACTTGTGCCTGCCTTAGAATAAGGAAATAACTGAAGATGGATAATTAAGACACCCTGTCTATCTCAAATAGAATATGAAGACTGACTTTTGTCTGGCTCTTTTTGAATTTTTGTTTATTGTTATTAAAGATGCCCATAACAATAGGGGCCGATATGTTAGAGCCAGTATTTAGATTGTATAAGAAAGGCCACCTAATTGTGACGTCTGTAGTCAGCGCACTATAAAGGACTACATTTCCCATGGCGCCTGGGCTAAAGCCACAGTGATGGGCAACCTGTTGAGACGCCGTCGAGGAACAGTTTTTAACGGTACACGTACATACAAATCGTACAAGTACCCTTTAAGTTATGAAGTTATATAAGCATTATCAAGAAAGAATACCTAAGTTGTTTGTTATTTTATTTGAGTTTTGCCTATTTCTTTTGAATATTGTAAAGGCCTAATTTCTTTGTTGCATGTGCAAAAGTTTGTTATGTTATTTTGAGCAAACACGTCGCAACATTATCTAAACCACCAGAGGCCAAGCAACGCTTCAAACTGTGAGTAATTTAAAGGAAAGAAACGAGTTAGAACTGTCTGTTTAAGGCGTCTAGTGGCTTGATGGAAAGACAAGAAAGGAAGCCACGACATTGTTAAAAACTCTCGTGACGGACAAATCCGTGTGGAATTAAATGGTTGCCACCATATTATACAGGGTTCGTACGGTCATTGAAAACCTGGAAAAGTCATGGAAATTCAAAATGCAAATTCCAGGCCCTGGAAAAGTTATGGAAATCAATATTTTTCCCAAAGTTTGATGAAAAGACAAGGAAGGAAGCCACGACTAGGCTAATTTTCAAAATGGAAGGTTGGCTCTTCATAGGGAACTTAAATATAGTTGGGGAAAGTATATTTTAGCATAATCTTGACTAAAACAAACGGATGCCATTCAAGTACACTTGAATATCCATGCCATAGCACATTGCTTACTGCATGGCTATTGAGAGCACACAAAGGTTTGCAACAGGCTCACACATGTGAGAGTGGGAAAAACTGGTTGGCATTCGGGCAAACCTAAGGCTCTTTGAGCCGGCACAGAGCCATCCTCAACAAGGATGGACAGTGACACTGAAGAGGAAGACTCGGAGAGTGATGTTGATGAGGCCCAGGAAGAGCCCATTGGCTGAAAGGGTTTAGTCAAAATGCAGAGGATTGCTTGAAGGAAGATATTGCATGTTTTAAATGGGACTTTTTGGAGAGAGAAGGGCCCTTTTCATTTAACATTTTGAATGGGACTTTGTGGGGATTTTTGGATGGGGGGTGCATTTTTGAATGAGTAGGTTCGGGGGGATGAGTAATATTTAACTCAACATTCCTGTTTCTTCAATGAAAACAAATAATTGTTCAATAAAATAATTAAAACTTGTTCTGTTCTACTTTTTTTTTTAAAAATCTGTTGAAATGTCATGTTTTTTGTTTAATTTTGCAATCGAATATTTCCAAAATTCTCCAGCTTAACTTCCCATGGAAACTTTCCGGAAATGTTTCGCCCCTTTGCAACCCTAGCCACGACACATGTTTTAATAATACTTTTGCTTTTCAAACCATTACAATATGTTCTCATTTGTTTTATCAGTACAGTTTTGAAGCTTTTGTGCTTCATAGCATTTGCCTTGCCATAGTATGAAATATTTCAGGATTGCACTTTTAAAGGTCCCATGTCATGCTTTTCCGGTTATTACCCGTCCCCTTGTGTGTTATGAAGGTTTGTATGCATGTGTAAACGGGTCTGCAGAGTCAAAAACCCTCAAAGTACACCATGTAGCGAGTAAAACTCTAACACAGAAAAGACCTCCCCAAAACGCCTCGTTGGAGATTTCTCATTTTCCATTGTTTTCTTCCTGGGTATTGCTACGTAGGGATACCCAGTAGCCACGCACAGAGCTATGGCCGCACCCTCTGCCAGCCTTTCACAAAACAAGCTTCCCAAACCTTTTCAGCGACTCATGCCGGATCTGTCAGCGTAGGGCACTGAAGAACGATGCTGTTCCTACTTTGTTTGGACGAGCGGGGAGTTCATTGTTGTTTGTGTATTTATATGTTTAAAACAAACAAGGTATATCTACCACGACGTTTAAATGGGTTATAACGGTTTTTTCGGGCTGCTAAGCCATTGACTCAGTGCTAAGTAGCTAGCGCTTCCATATATCAACTCCAATGTTAGCAGATGGCCTTTCTGTATCTCATTAGCTGGAGAATGTCTGCATTCACACACCAAAATACTCAGACAGTATACTCCGGGTGATGGTGATTACCGTACGGTCCAGTACATTATAGTTGGCGTTCCTAGCGTGTATGTCACCGAGCTACCGTTCATAGCGTGCCTACCGAGCTAAACAAGAAGGCTACCTAGAGCTAGACATGCTAGGGAAAACATGTTTTCATGCCAGCTACAATGAATGGACCGACGTAGCAGGACTACCCGTATAAGATTGCAATTGTAAACATGTTCTTGCTAGCCTAGACTAGCTGTTGTTCATAATAGGTTGGCATAGTACACTGAACAACTAGCAAACGTAGGTTAGCATATTAGCTGGCAAGCTAACTGTGTTGATTATATAGATAGATACACCTTTGATAGATACACACTCCTACCACAACTACTACTGACAAATCTAAAACAACTAAGTTTCTCTAATATTTTGTGATTTGCATTTGATTTCCTCCAGCCAGATCAAGAAACTCCTGGCGTATCTGGCGGACAACACATGACGGGATGACCACTGATGCCTCGTCCTAAAAAGCCCAGGCAGCAGCTTACAAAGCTGCGATAGGCAAGATGCCGAAAACGCCTATAAGGGGAGGAATGGATGATATACAGTGTATGTATATTTACACATGTTCGTTTTGTACATTTCAAAAAATAAAGTTTGATGGAAATACTTAGTAGCCTTTCTTCCCTGAATTATTTGCTCCTATAACATATCATTCATGTATATAGCCAGTGTTGCTACTAACGCGTTACAAACTAACGCGTTACTGTAACGCAACTACCTTTTGCGGTAACTAATAACGTTACTAGTGACCTATTCCCATTCAGTAACGCCGTTATAGTTACTGTGATTTAAATGGGTGCGTTACTTCGTTACATTATGTGATCCTAACTGAACGAATCTCCCTGCGGATGTAACTTACAGCGATTGTCCTCTCACAGTACCATGGAAAAGTGAAAGTGACCAGAGAGGAGTGATGATTGGTTAACGCGGGGTAACAATTTCAGGGTAAGCCAATCAGAGACAGAGTTGGGCGGGGTCTTGCCTTATGGGGAAAATACACAGACACAAACACGGCAACGCCCACCACCAGCACACACACACACACACTATGGCAGATGCAAGTATCAGCGAGAGCAGCAGCGGCAATTACAACTTGGATGATATAACCACTATTTAAATAGTATAGTTGTTGTTAATGTGTACACTGCCAAAAGAGTGGGAGTTGTTTTTATTTCATATTGCACTACACGTGCACTACTTAGACTTGATTGTTGAGGCTACAATAAAGATGCCTGTCAAAATGTCTAAACATATCTTTTGTGTTTTATTGTTCACTACATTTCATAATGATAATTGCTACAATGATGGGGAGTTGTATTTCTCTACTGTGCCACAGAACAACACAAACACTTGTATTGTATTGTTATTATTTTTAAAGTAAAGTAAAGGTAACTTTTATAAATTTAGTAACTCGTTACTTTTTGAGAGCAGTAACTATAACCATTACTAGTTACTTTTTAAAAGTAACTTGCCCAACACTGTATAGCAAACCATGATTTGATTTTTCATCAAACAGTAGGTAGTTTATTACAGGTAAAATTTGAACTTTACTCTTCTATAACAACATAGTAGGTACAGTTCGGTTAGTTAGCGTTATAGCATATACGGCTTGTAATGACGCCATTGTAAGACTAGAGGGATTCGCTCAGAGCGAAGCCGAAAAAAGCACTGTTAGACATGGGGGGAGCCTCTCTGGTGGTTGACTAATCAGAACAGAGTGGCCGAGCTGACCAATCGGAGCACACTGGGCTCACAGAGAGGGGGGGCAAGAGCTACCACGTGCCGTTAGTGGAGAGAGTGAATACACATACTTTACAGAGATGCTGTATAAGAAACCAATGTGAGTTTGGAAAATTGCACAATGTAAATCTATTTTAGTAGGACCTCACAATGGAATTATGGTCAGTGGAAATAGCCATGACATGGGACCTTTAACACACTTGAAATGTTCTCACTTGCTTGGTTTCAAAACATAACAAATGCCATAATCTGTTTCATTGGGGACCATCAATGCTATTTTTCGTTTCTTGCTGGCCACTATTGCTCATGTAAACCTACTACTGCTGCGCCCCCCTGTAATCTCAGATGCACCCCGAGTCATTTTGTTCTGGAGCCGGGCCTGTACACGGCCATATACTAAACACACCTACAGAGCCCATTCCGTGTCCTGTTATTGTTTACTTCCTGTCTGCCTTCTTCGGGTGATTTATCTGACGTCCAGCGCTCCGTCTTTTAACCTATTTTCCTTTCTCTTTTCGTGATCCTCCTTAGCAACCTTCATTATAGTCCTTGACAGTGGTCTGTACTGGATTAACAACGTGTCAACATGTTAAGAAGTTACAATCAGAATCGAGTTTTCATCTAAGCCGTGTAATACAAGTTGTTAGTAGCCTTAAGGGCCTACACAGTTGTTATGCTACACCACATCGCCCTTCACTGGATGTATGATGAGCTGCACTAAACTACATTTCAAATACCTAGCCATTCTTTTGAGGTTATTTTGGTAAAGTAACTCAAAAGTAATATAAAAGTAATGTAACTTATTACTTTAAAAAGACAGTAATAAGTTAAATGTAATGTATTACATTTTGGAAGTAACTTGCCCAACACTGGTTATTAAAGTAAGTTAAACCCCAATACTCACATTCATCAGTTATTAAAGTAAGTTAAACCCAACACTCATATTATCAGTTACTCCTCACGTGCTGCCCTTCTCTCTGAGACCGGACCGACATTTTCTTTGTTTCCTCGTCACAGGCGCGCATTGCATCCTGGGATAACGGTGGACTGTGAGGAAAGAGGACTCTTTAATCCAGGAAAAGAAGAAGGCCGCTCTCCAACCCGCCCCCTCCCTCCTCTCTTCTATCTGTCCGCAGAATCAAGAAGTCCTTTATTGGTCCCACAGAGGGACATTAACATGGTTACAGCAACAGTGGAGATAGATGCTGCTCCCAGACCGTAGTGGAGGAATACAGGGGAGGACTCTCTGCAGTTTTCCCGGACTCAAGCACAGGCTTCGGCTTCAATAAACCCACTCTGAAATGAGGCAGACAGGCAGGCTGTTTCCTTGGGAGGCCGCTGTGTTTCCTCAGGACTTTGTTTATACAGCTAACTGGAGACAGACTGATCACTGCTGCTGACTCCCGCTCTCTTCCGGACACACCACTACGCTCTACACATGCACGCGCCACATGCACGCGCCACACCGCTCCTCTCTCTTAAAGGGATAGCGACCCCACTCTGCATGACCCTGCTATTATAGATAGAATTATAGAGAGAGAGAGAGAGAGAGAGAGAGAGAGAGAGAGAGAGAGAGATACACTGAACAAATTGATACGTGGATCAACTTAAACATTTCCGCTAATTTGTTACAGCAATTTTTTTTTCATTTATTCCAAATTAATTTTTTGACGTCAAAATATTAATTTGAGTTAAGTAACAAATATTGCTTCCTTCTAAGATATATATATTTACATTCACACAAAGTAATGAGATGATTCATTCTGAAGACCGCACAACATGTATTACTTTATTATAACTTAATTTTCCTTTTGGACTAACCTCATATTTATAATAGATCTAAGTAGAGTTTTTAAGTTTGAGAAAACCAATTAAAAAATATTTCATTTTGTTGCAGGCAATATTTTTTATGATAGCTTAATATATTTTATTTTATTACAAAGCAAAAACTTTAATGTACAATCAATACAATACTGTTGGTGTTGGAGCTATGTATCTCTTTATATTATTTAATAGTTCCAATGTATTGTCTTGCTGTTTATTAGGGTTTATTGTAAATGTATTATTAGTTAGTGTCATAAGTTAAAGTAGTTTTCTATGCTTTTATTTTGAATGCATGTTTGGGCACTGTGATTAGAGCACCTGGTGTAATTGTATATTATTGGAGACAGGTGGGTGGTGGGAGCCAGAGCACTAGTAGGCAAACGGTTTTTTACCTGGTGTTTCAAGCCACCAAAGGAAAGCCAAAGGAACGGCTTAAGGAAAAGAGATATAGGAAACCTGTTCGTTGTACTTTGTTATTGGAATAAAATGCACAAATGGAGGTTCTTGTCTGGACTTGGATGATGATTGCCCTGCGTAAGATCCGCTAACTAGTGCCAGCTCAGTGGCTGTATTATTTAAAATTAATTATCTGTTTTATTTCTATATGATTTTGGCCGCTACAAAGTAGAAAACTGTGCCGTTGAAGCAGACATGTTTTCTGAAGTTATTTTTTGTGGATATTTTGGATCGCCCGTGTTTGAAGTGGAGTATTGGATTTCACTTTAAAAGACACATCGGGCCCTGGACGGACTTCAACAACGGCACAGGAACATGGGCGGTATGTGAACATTTTCTCCAGTGGCTGTATAGGAAAACGGCCTCACTAGTGGAGCGCTGGAGTCATTGTTTTTCCGCATAGGCCTGTGAATGAACAATGGAAAAAGTTCAAAGAATAGTCGGATCTTGGGAATGGGTGTGTACAGTGATTACACACTCTGACGCATCAGCGTTTTCTCCTGTGGATTAAAATAACATATTGGATATTTTAATTAACGCCAATCAAAGAAAATGATGCAAGACGCCGCATCAAAGGACAGAAGTGGATCTTCTGACGAGGTAAATCCTAAGGACATTGCACCACACATGTTTAAAGGACAATAATTCCAGACCACAGAAAGTATTCAGATTATCATACAGATCATCTGCAAAATCCAAGCTGAAGCTGATTTAGCAGTACTTAAAGAACCCATGTCTACATTGAAGAGGAAGCATGCATTGGAGATCCAAGTGATTAGAAAAGAAAAGGAAAAACTTGCTTTTGACCTAAAACTGTCTGCACTCAATGACAAACTTGACATCCTGAAAATCCACTCAAGGCGTGAATCCAAAGGATCTGTTGAAAAAGGTAACAAACAGAAATATGAGAAGATAAAGTTTTGTTCTGCCCCGACCGACAACTGTTTTTCTCTCCAACACAACCATCACTCACAGGATACATGTTCAAGCTTCAAGATAAAAATACATCATGAGAAAACAAATTCCATAAAGGTAGATGGATCTAGATGTTTTTGCCCTGCTGGTCACATAAACAAAGACTATTGGAGTCATTTGAAGTGCAGTGTGTGTCACCAGAAGCAACTGTCAGCCCTTCACATTGAAGATGAGGACACAGACACATCCTTCAACAAAGCACATGTTTCACCTGGACAGTCAGAGACAAGTGTTTATACTGGGGCCTGGACCTGGAGAGGACAATGGATTCAGCTCTGGTTGCCCTGTTGTAGTAACCTCTCAGCTTGCATTGGAACAACAAGAAAATATGCTCATCAAACATCAAACCCAGGATTTACAAGAAAAAACATTAGCAGTGCCATGTGAAAAGCACACAGAGTGAGGAGCAGGAAATAAATCACAAAGAGGAGACCAGCTCCATCACAGCCTCACCAAAGTCATAAACATCAGACTGAAACACAGGATGAAGAAATATAATCCGACCTCCAGATAGATGGTGTGAACCAGTGGCGTAGCCACCATTTTACTCATTGGCCCACCCTGAGAAAGCTTTGGTGTAATTTTAAATAATAAAACAAATGTATTCACCCATTGAAATATCCAAGCATTCAAATTGAAATTCAAGTGAACAAATATCGAGTTGAATTAATGTTGTATGTGTTTTATCCTCTGAACCAAACAAATGTACGGTAAAAACTGGTTGTTGTTGTTGTTCCGGCGCGCGCCATAGTAAGAGAGAGGCAGATGATGGCTCAAAGTTCATTAGTGAACTTTGAGCCATCATCTGCCTCTCTGAGTCTGGCTTTTTTTTTAAAAGCCAGACTCCAAAAAAAAGAGCCCCCACTGCCCTCATCTAGCAGCGATCCGGGGCCAGGCTCTCCGACTAATCCGGAGACTGTGCTCCCTCCCGCTCCAGGTCGTCAGCATGAAGCAGGTGTAGGCCTACCCGCTGGTCTGTCTGTAATTGATGAACCGCTTTCACAGCCAACATTGAAGAAGTTCCCTTACACTCTAAATCATGGGAAAGCAAGGTGCTTCTCATCGAGGTGGTATGGAGATTTTCCCTGGGTGGAATACAGCGCAAGTAGGGACGCGCTTTTCTGCAAAATGTGCAGACATTTCCCCAGCCCAGGAGCAGAAGGTGCATTTACGAGGGATGGATATGTAGACTGGAAGCACCTGCGTAACTCGTTGGAGAGACATAAAAAAAGTGAGGACCACTGCAAGTCCATGAGCAGGTTTGAATGCTACAACCTATTGTTGCCGCTACCTAGTGCAATACAAGAGTAAATAACCCAATTTGTGTTCTGTGAAACTGAAAAGGATATTACATTGTTTTTATTACTTCCGTTGCAGTAAATGTCTTAAATGTAATTTAGGTTAACTTCCTGTGTTATTTAGATGCTTTTATTTTGAAGGCGAGTTTACGCTGTTGACAGGAAGTTGTTGTTGCTATGGAAACAACTTGACGGAGAAAAGGAGAATAATCTACATACAAAGATGGAGAAAGTAAGGTAAAGTTTATGTTTAAGTTTAGCACCCCCCGAAGAGGCACAAAGTTGGTATTAACTATAATTTAAAAAATGTAGGTTGTTTCCTAATTTGTTTGCATGCTGTTGTGTAGCTTCGCTGTCTGTTTACAGTTAACATTTGGTAGTATGCTAAAGTGATTCTAATACGAATGGAGCCTAAATGTATTTGTTATTTTTGTGTCTTTAGCTCTTACGTTGATATTGGAGATTTCAATTAATTCATATCATCAGTGAAGTCTTGGACCATTATTCGGAGGGAAATGCTACAACGATGCTTGGCAATGGGCATTATGATAAGTTATTATCATAGGCCAGGCCTACCTTGAAGTCATTTTCCCCCAAGAAAAAGATGGCCCACCCTATTTTATACTGGCCCGCCCTAAAGTAAATGTCTGCCTACGCTACTGGTGTGAACAGTGATGGAGACACAGAGGAGGCTCTATATGAAGAGGATTTGGATGACAGAGCGAATGGAATAAGCCCAGAAAAGGATTTTCAACAGGAGATATTTTCTTTATTGCAAATCTTTTTTTCATTTATGTTCATATTTTGTAACATGTCATTGTATTGATTATAATGCTTTGTACTTTCAGTTTCAAAAGATTACTACAATAACATATTGAACTATCTGGCGAAGTGTACATCATTGCTACGTGCCCAGGGGCCAGTATAGTGAAAAAACAGCATCACAGCGGGTTCTACACAGCAGACGCCTTCGTCAACAAGAGAGGTTTTCTTCAAAGCAACTTTAGCTGCGCCAGACTGACATTCCCATAAAGCTACATGATGGATGCTACACCTCACGCAGAAGAGCAACACAGGCGGGTTCATCATCAGACAGGGGTCTTCTTATCAGGTCTGTAGCCAATTGCTCCAGCTCAAGTTCCAAAACATCATCAGCTAGCTTAGCTGCAGCTAAAGCACGAGCTAAAGTTCTAGCTGCACGAGCCTGTGCAGCTTTCGTTCAGAAAGAAAATGAGCTTTTAATGGAAAAGGCTTGGAAATAAATCTCAAACCTTGGATCTCTTCCACATCAATCTCCTCACGAAAGAACTAGCGAGTATGTTGAGTGTCATTCTAAAGCTGCCTTGCAGCATACACCCGTAGATCTCGCACAGCATCAGCCTCAGCCACATGATCCAACTGCTCTCAATAACGTCGCCTTTGATCACTCTGAGAGCGCCCTTAACATGTTACCATCCAGCTAATAAAGCCGGATTATGATGCTTACCCTGATGGCTCCTACCCATGGGCTCACATCAGCCACTCTCGTCCACTCTCCACA